GGGGGCGAACATGAGGTGAGCGAGGCTCTGCGATGAAGTCCCTTCCTGTGCGTTTAGAGCTGGCCTGCATGGGCTCCCGGTCGAACCCGGTTGCCGCCTTCTGCCCGACTCTTTTAGACAGAAATATAGCCTCAAAGTTAGGGGTTAATATCTCTTAAGAAATGGAACAAGGGCAGAGAGGCGACCATTGGTAGGTAATTAGATCTCCTGCTGGAAAGAGCAGATCCCAGCGGTGTGCGGGTCTGTTTATGTTCCCCTTCGAGATGGTGCCAGGACAAGAGTCGATTAAAATAATCTATTGTGTTAAGTGGGTCATCAGGGATTTAAACTGTCCCCGGGACCCCAGCGTAGTGGCCTCCCTCTGGCGGTGCACACAAGTTAAATAAATAGCGGAGAAGAGGTTAAGATAACCCCGTCCCAGGGTGAGGAGTCTTCTTTCTCCCCAGGGCTTTCCAGCTCCCCCTCCTCTTTCTTTCTTTCTTTTTTTTGGAGGGGGAAGAAGGGGGGCATAGGAACTTGAAGGGGTGGATTTTTCAAAGCAATGAGGGGGAGATCTTAAGAAAACTACAGATTATCATCTCCTCCCTGGCACACCCAAGTCTACAACAGTAAGTAATTTGATTACTATCACTGGATAAATTGCACTTTCCAATGGTTCACTAATTATTTAAGGGTTCTTTAGATCTGTAGTTGCTCTGTGTGCATGTGCTTAACCCCCAGGTCATTTAGAAATTAAAGTCTTTCGTAAAATTAGTAATTTCACAGATTTCCCATTTTCTTAAAAGTTCATTTTGAGTGAAATGTTTTGGCAACTCATGAAATGTAAGTTGGCTGACAGTCTGTAGGTGAGTGCTCACACAGGGAAGAATAGAAACTTAAGTCCCCACATCTCTGAATGAGAACTGCCTGCCCGCCTTGTCTTCTAAACTGAAGCCCCCAGTCTTAATGTTTCAGTATTAAAAGTGATATCAGTCCAAGAAACACTTGTCAAGGGCAAAGCCGTGGAGCATGTCCCAGAACAGAGTGAAGAGCTGGTAAGCCTAAGCCTGCTATGGAAGATGAAGTGGTACCAGCCCATGTCATACATCTGCAAGGAATTTTCCTTCATTTTAACATATGCTCTTAGAAATGCCAAGTGCAACAGTAATTCCTGGGACAAGAAATTTCCTCCACAGTGAACATGAAGATACAAAAGAGATAATCATTTGAGTTTAAGGTATTTTTCAAACGTTACTGCATTACAAACAAGTCCATATGTCCTTTGTTAAATACTGTGGTGGGTGTCCACAGAGTAGCGCTTAAGGACATGTGTTTGAGCGCTAGATAGAATTGGACTCAAATCTTGGCTCTCCTACTTGGGAGTGGTGTAACCTTGGACAGATTCCTAACCTCCCTGATTGGTAAAACAAACACAATATTATCAATCTCGTGTTTTGTTGTGAAATGTATGATAAAATTTGCTCGAAATTTAGCATAATACCTGGCATAGTAAGGGTTTAAAAATATAGGTGACTGTTCTTATTAGTGGTGATATTGGAAGAGGCAGTAACATTCTACAGCACCAGGATATTTTTACAAGGTGGTTCTGAAATTAAATCCTAAATCACACTCACACAGGGACCAACATCTTTCACTGCAAGACAGAACCTATAACTTACCTGTCTCTCCATAGTGCTGCTCAGTGAATAGTTAATGTTTATTTCTTTCAGACTTAATTCCTGTTGACTGCAAGAATTGTATACAGTCATTAACTTCACACACACACACACACACACACACACACACACACACAAATTTTCCCATGAGCCTAGAGCTCCTGAGATATGAAACGACCAGGTAGTCTTCTCCCTGCCCTATGCAATGCTGGATGGATCCCCTGAGTGGGGTTCAAAATCACCAGGTCATAGTTAGGGTACTTGCAACATGTACAGGTTGAGACTTTATGGTCCACTAGTTGGCCAACCACCAACTCTTCTTCTTGGTACAACTTGTCTGAAAAAAAAAAAAATCAACCCAGCACATTCTTAAATTTTCTATTTAATTTCCAAAAGTTGACTTTTTAAAAAAGTAAAGATCAAAATAAACTTTGCCCTTCTCAAAGAGTTAACCCTAAGATAAAGGAATAGATTCTTCTAAAATCTGGTCTGCACTTAGAGCATTTGCTGTCAGTTCTGATTTTTTTTTTGTATGTTGGGAGAATAATTTGATGCCATACCTATTGAATGTCTTTCTAAAACTTTACTTATCAGGAGGAATTGATCAGACATCGAGGCACAGACTGCTGGCTTGCTGACCATTGTCTCTTCACTGTAATCCCCACTCAACACTCCCATTTAACTGGTGATAAGCAGGTTGGCTAGTTAAAATGAGAAATATAGCAAGAAGAGGGCAGAAAGGAGCTAGCCTAAACTTTTTCAAAGACACCAGGACATTGGAAACAGTCACATATAGCATTTTCATTTTTGATTCCCCAGAATTAGATTATGTGCTCATAGTCTTGTAAAGACTGGAATAAATCACCATGTCCTGCTCAGGACAGAGGTGGTTAAACTGATTTGAGAGTATGTATATTCTATGGGACAAGTGGATAGGAGGGAAGGATGGTGATAAAGGAATAATAAAAAAGATGGGATGGGTCTTGCTGGTAGGGAACAGTAGTAGAGAAAGCTCACCACAGACAATATGGTCACATTACTTGGAGGAGAAATGCATTAAGGGGACATTGAGGCAAGGTTAAAAGATTATTGTCTGTAAAGGAAAATTAAGGGAGGTCTTTGTGGGTGTCATGATGCAGTCCGGATCCGAGTTACAACTTTAATTTAATGATGTGAGTGGGTTATTCTGTATATGCAAATTACCAAAAAAATGTTTGCAACTCATGGTTGTACATGGGTGATAATTCATAGGAACCTAAGTCTGGATTAGCATTTGGGTTGAGTTTTGATAATGGGGCACTCCGCTAGGTGTTGATGTGGAAAAGAATGGTCCTCAAGCAAATATCCTCCATGTCTAGAATATTTACAAAGTGCAAATTATTTTGTGGCCATACAAATGGGATTTCAAGAGCAAAACAGTCTTATATCCTTCACTGAGTCATCAGGACCAAGTTGGTGTGTGTGTATGTCGGGGGGGAGGTGGGTTGGATGGTTGGCCACAATGACTAGACAGAGCCCTGGTTCCAGTACTCATTACCCTTCTCATCCCCCTCACTCTCACTCATGTGGAGTATGTGGAGTCCTTCAGAGCTCTGCTCTTCTCTAAGAAGCAGAGGTCTCTGTTGATTGAGATTCCAGAAGTTGGTTTTCACTCCTCTCCAAATAGCTAATTAATATGATTTAAGAACTCTAAAACCTCACAATTAGCGCTGAAGACCTTTGAAGAATAGGCTTTTTAAAAATGAAAAAAACATTTCATAATATTTTCCACATCTAATAAATCTTATTTTGAGACAAATTTACTTTTCTTATTAAAAAGAAACCACCAGCCTGTCATTCTAGATTCCTTTGGCTTATGGGATACACATGCTCCCATAGGAACAGGAAGCCTGTCCAAACTAACACCGAAAACCACAGTTGACTAATTTGGGGTTTACTGCTTGATTGTTGGTTTCTGCCATAGTGAGTACAGTGACTTCAATTAGAAGATGAAACCCATAGCCTTATGCCTGGGGTCAGGTAAAAAGCAGTGGCTATTTGGGGTTCTCCTAGAGAAAGGAAGGCAAGTACCTAGAAGCTCCCTAAACTGTAGGGAGCTTGCTACACTGAGGGTGAGAACGAAAGGATTGCAGTCGGCTGCACTGCTCATTGGTATGTGGGAAGGCGTTTTAAAATGCAAAGAAATGGGAACTCTGTACATCAACATGGTCCGTAATAATCATGTAAGAGCACCTACTGTGTGCCGGGCGCTGAGGATAAGGTGACGAGTAAACCCTCACAGCTCTCAGTTTAGGTATTTATGTAATTACAGATGTGAAAAGGCCAAGAAGGAAAAGCCGAGTACAAAGAAGGTCCTAAGTTGGTCTGCAGGAAAAAAAAAAGACATTTTTAGACAGATATTTGTGGAAGGGATGGCCTCATGACACGAACCTGTCATATGCAGTGTATATTCCCAGTCAGTCTCAGATTGGCCTCTGTGATGTGGGCTCTGCCGGCCTTGCTCTGGGAGGGCTGCATTATCCTGGAGGGAGGAGGGACAGAGTGGGTATAGGCCCTGGGCTCTCGTATATGCTCCTCTTTGAAATGGGCAGAAACTGTTTTAGTTTAGACCCTGTCCCTGAGCTGAATAAATAGCAGAAACTTGTGAAAGCGTTTCAGTTTCACTCTATAGCATTTGCGGAGGAGACTGGACAGTCCTGGCTCCAGCTATCCTGGGCTCTGGAGAAAATCAGCCCTGTTTTATAACTGGACTTTTCTCGTGAGTGATTTTTTAAAAAGACAAAACAAGGAAATTAATTTTTTTTTTGGGTGGTGAGGCAAAAAAAAAGGGCTCTGTTTAAAGAACAGGGATGTTGTAACATAAACTGACAAAAGCCAGGGAGTCTGCAGTCAGAGCAGAGAGCTAAATGTCACATCATCAGCTCCAAACTTGAACTCGCCCTAAAGTATTAGGCTAATGTTGGGAAGATGGTGCCATTTAAGGATATTTTATTTATTATTTTAAATAATTCTTTATTGTTGAAAATATTACATATGTCTTCCTCTTTTCCCCATTGACCCCCTCCAGCCTGCCCCCGACCCAGGCCTTCAGTACCCTATTACCTGTGTCCATGGGTCACTTAAGGATATTTTAGATTTAATATCTAATTATCTTAATTTGACAGTGTCCTTCGGGTTGCATGGTGTTTATGGACAAGGACTGTCCTGTAGAGGATGTAGAGTCCACACTGCCTTTGTCTAGGGGGGGTGGTTCAGGGGGTGGGGGGGGTTGGGGGGGGCGGAGAGTTGTGATAAGGTTAAATTGCACTTCGTGATTATCTTGGGTAACACCAGTGTTCAGAAGAGAGCAGGGAAGTGATGCTTCACATCTTTGTCCTTAAGTTCAGAAAACTGTGATGAGTCCAGGGCAGGGCAGGCCAGGCCAGGGGAAGTTTCAGGATTCAAGTCAGATTTGGTGTGATGGCCTAAGGAGGGAGGCTGTGAATCTGAAAATGCCCTCGTCCCTCTGTACGCTGTGGCTGCAAGTGCTCCAGGCCTTCCTACTCAAAGCTCATTCAAAGGCAGTACTGCACTCTAACAACGTCCGTCCCCAGGTGACTGCATGTTCAGGTTTGAGAAGCTGTCCCAGGAGAATCCTAATAGTCTGATGCTTCTCTTGCACTTTCCTTTTAAAAGTATGCTCCTCCTGCTCCTCCTCCTCCTCTTCCTCCTCTGTCTGCCCTCCCTTCCTGAACACCCTTCCTCAGATCTATACTCCTTTTCCCAATTTACATTCCTTACTCCATTAATTTTTCTCTCTCCATCTTTGCTTTACTGTTTTATTCTCTTGTCCGTTTTCCCTCTGCCTCCCCCCTTATTAATTTTTTTTTCATTGTTCATATGCCATTTTCCTCTCTGATCTTTATCTAAATCCAGACCCACCCACAATAATTCACTGTCCCCAATCTATTTAACATGTCTATGGCATTTACTAATGCAAATATTTGCACGAAGCTGTTCTCTCTTGTGCTTATTTTCTGCCTTCTAGATTTTACACACACACACATATGTGAATGACACATTTCATCATTTAAAGTAGAAAAGTATATATCTTTGTGTAAAGAATGATATAATGAATATCTGTACTCAATTTAAAAATGAGAATAAGTGAGGGGTCCAGGAGTCTTTGTGAATTACAAGATCTTTCTGGTAAAGTAAGTAATTCTGTCTGCAGTACCGTCATACGTTTGGTTAGTTCTCAAATTGCTTTCACTTTTACATCAGATCTGATCTGAATAGCCTGTCTGGGGAGATGAGGTATATACCGTTGCTTAAATGAAGTCATTTATTGAAAAGTAAAGTGATTTTCCTCAGGTTAGATAGCAAGTTGGTGCCCGAGGAATTCCAGTAGAAACTCAGTCTCAACTTTCCATCCAGCGCCCTTCCTGTGAAGTATCCTCCCTCGGTCCGTGCCTTCTGGTCTCCCCACTGGTCACCTTCCTAAGCCTGAAAACTGTGAACATCGTAAGCATCCAACCAACTGAACAACTCGGGCAGCACTGAGGCTAGTTAGGGGGAAAGACTGGGAGACTTGCCTGGCATGTGAAGCTAATTTATTTTTGCTAAAAACAAGATAAGTTTTCCAAAGAGGTGCAAGGTAACCTGGCATTGAAACAGTAGGAACTTACTAAATATTGTCAAGTACAGGAATGAATACAGGTAAGTGACCACTATACAAATCAAACATAGTTGGTGTCAGAAGCCAGGAAGCAATTCCTCCGGGAGCACCTGTGATGAAGAGAAGGGCCAGGGCTGAGTTCAGATCTCGACTTATTCACGGCCTGATGGCCAGGAGAGTAATAGGAATAATAGTACCAATTCGTAGAGATATTGTGAAGAGTAAGTGAAATATTTTACCTAAATGTTTAACAAGTGCTTGCTGACATACTAGCTGCTATTTCACGTGCTGCCTAACACAGGATACAGCAGGTGATGTTCCCTGTGAGTCAACATCATAGAGTTCATGGACTTAGATCAGTGGTTCTCAACCTTCCTAATGCCGCGACCCTTTTAATACAGTTCCTCATGTTGTGGTGACCCCCAACCATAAAATTATTTTCGTTGCTACTTCATAACTGTAATTTTGCTACTGTTATGAATCGTAATATAAATATCTGATATGCAGGATGTATTTTCATTGTTCGCGACCCACAGGTTGAGAACCGCTGAATAGTCTAAGCTACTGTACATCTAGGCTATAGGGTATAGCATATTTTTTCTAGGGTACAAGCTTATACAGTATGTTGCTGTATAATACAACATGAGATTAAATCAAACACAAGAGAAAAGGGTTTAATCAAAATACGTGGTAAACACAAGATGTATGAGGCTGTTTTACAGCAAACTTTTTTCATAAGTAGAAAGAGTGCATCCTAAAATAATAAAAAAAAGTATAGTAAATATGTAAACCAGTAACATAGTCGTTTATCATCACTATCAAGTCTTATGGACTGTACATAACTGTATGTGCTGTACTGTTATATGACTGGCAGCATGGTAGGTGTGTTCACACCAGCATCACTCCAACATGGGAGTAATGCCTTGTGCTACAGTGTTACAATGGCTACGATGTCACAGGCAATAGTAATTTTTTAGCTCCATTATAATCTTACAGGACCGCTTTTTGTTTGTTTCTTTTGTAAATCCTCACCGGAGGAAATTTTTCCATTGATTTTTAGGGGGAGTGGGATAGAGAAGGAAAGACAGAGAGAAACATTGGTGTGAGAAAAACACATGGGTTGGTTGCCTCCTGCAGGAGCCCTGACCAGGGCCTGGGCCAGGAAGGAAGAGCCTGCAATGGAGATATGTGCCCTTGACTGGAATTGAACCTGGGACCCTTTGGTCCGCAGGCCGATGCTCTATCCACTGAGCCAAACTGGCTGGGGCCAGGGCCACTTTTTGTATCTGCGGTCCGTCACAGACCAAACTTGTTATGCAGCACATGGCAATATTAACATTTTAATGAACTTTCCTGTTTTTCATGTCTTCCCTCTCTGTGCTTCCTTCCTTTAGCATGAGCCGCACCGCCTACACTGTGGGAGCCCTGCTTCTCCTCTTGGGGACCCTGCTGCCAGCTGCTGAAGGGAAAAAGAATGGGTCCCAAGGTGCCATCCCCCCACCAGACAAGGCCCAGCACAATGACTCAGAGCAAACTCAGTCTCCCCAGCAGCCTGGCTCCAGGAACCGGGGGCGGGGCCAAGGGCGAGGCACGGCCATGCCAGGGGAGGAGGTGCTGGAGTCCAGCCAGGAGGCCCTGCATGTGACCGAGCGCAAATACCTGAAGCGAGACTGGTGCAAAACCCAGCCGCTCAAGCAGACCATCCATGAGGAGGGCTGCAACAGCCGCACCATCATCAACCGCTTCTGCTACGGCCAGTGCAACTCCTTCTACATCCCTAGGCACATCCGAAAGGAGGAAGGCTCCTTCCAGTCCTGCTCCTTCTGCAAGCCCAAGAAATTCACCACCATGATGGTCACACTCAACTGTCCTGAACTACAGCCTCCCACCAAGAAGAAGAGGGTGACGCGTGTGAAGCAGTGCCGTTGCATCTCCATCGATTTGGATTAAGCCGGGACACCCTGACTGCCCTAGGGATGCAGCCCCAGGCAGTCCCAGAGCCAGACCTAAAACAACCTGATTTGAACTTGGCTTAAATCTAGAGACAAGAAGAACCACCAGCTGCCTCCTGACGGGCACCTGCTAGTGTGTAGTTTGCAAACATGCGTGTGCATGGGTGGCTGTGGCTGTCTGCAGACACCAGAGGAAACATAGTCTTTGCTGGAGGGCACTTCATATCATCTAAATGAATCTGCTTCCACAGGGGATGGCCCAGAAAGCCCACACCACCCCAGGCATTTTCAAAGGTGCAGGTCTGAGCTCCGGTTATGCCTTTGTCTTCCATGTGCCCTCCTAGGGACTTTCCCTTTAGAATGAATGTTGATGGAAGAGGCCACTCTGAGGGCAGGAGACCTGTGTTAGTGCTGTACTAGACTTGGAAGGGGTATTTCAACCTGTGCTTGCTTCCTGCCTTCCTCCTCCCTTCCATAGTCAACCCCTTTGTAGGATCTCAGTGACTATTTCAATCTAATCTCCTGTTTGCCAAGGGTTCCAAACTAACTCACTGGACCATGGATGTAAATGTTTCCCATCTTTGGAAGACCCTTCAGACTCTAGGGGAGCTGGTGTGGACAAGGGCAAGGAGGACGGAGGAATGAGAGAAGGGAGGGGTTGATCTTAAGGACCACTTGGGCCCAGCAAAATTCATTAGGGAGATGTGCAGGGTCTTGGAAGGCCAGCCCCAAAGCACAGTGAGACCCATGTGTTAGCAAGTTTTCTCCTGGTATTTAACAGAACCCAAGTGAACAGAGGAGAAATGAATTTGCAAAAAATAAAATCATTAACGTTGGTTGTCACTCTGATTTGCTGAAACTAGTTGGAACCCAATTCCAAACTTAAAACAAGTACTGGCCACTTGGAGGTTAGCCCCTTCCTGCTTGGCCCCTCGGGTGGACAACAGATGTAGCTCAGCACCCCCCACATAGGGATTGGAAGAGAACAGAAACCTCGTAAGCAGGAGGTGCTAATTCCCTTTGCTTGGTTATAATCACCTCTTTCCCAATTCGCTATTTCTGGGTAATGCTTGTGGGCGGCACAGCCTCGTTGCCAAGGGTCTGCCTCTGCTGGGTATCCCTGACAGTGAAGAACCAGGCTCAGAGGAGAGCTTGTAGGGCCTGCTCCATTCTAGCTGGAAGAATCTTTAGTTGTAGCCATTGAGAGAAGTTTGAGCTGGAAAGCAGGACAGAGTGAGGAAGTAAAGGAGGTTGCTTCTGGCTAAGGAGTAGTTTAATGCCTGGGAGATGTGAGGGATATGACCTTCCCTTCTTCCTTTGCCCCGTGAGGGCCTAGTGGGAAGCCCTGGTAAGAAATCCGAGCATTTGGGTTCATTAGCTGTCATGGTAACATTGGTGGGATTCATGGAACATTGTAACTCTTGAGAGTGTACTGGTAGAGGCTGTCCTCTGATTAAAATTAAACTTGGGCTACTTCTCAATAGCTACTTAAGATTTGTGTAATGGCCAAAGTGTGGTGTGGGTGAACCTTACTACATTTTGGGTTTGGCTAACCTGTTCCCTTCAAGCCTGAAGTTTTATATGTAAACGGCACCCCGCCCCCCAACACTTTTTTTTTTGTCTTGTATCATCTCAGCCTCACCACCCAAGTCATGTGTAACATGGGAAACCAATACCATAGACTCGTGTTTCAGTTGCCCATCAAGGCTCCAGCATTCAAAGGCCCATTGTAACTAAAGAGGCTGTTTTTATTTTATTTTTGATTTGGTTCAGTGTTCTCCCATTTAACAACTAAACAAGAACCATACTTTGCAGCAGAAGTTATTTTGAACACCCAAAATGTTGGGTCTAATTTTAAAACTTTTAAACTCACTACTGATGATCCTACTACACTAGGTGAATTTGTGCATTTCTTATACACTGTGTGCCCCTGCCCTAAATCTTTCTATCATTCACATCCTCCAGCAATAAACCACAGAATGGATTTAATTAAGCACACAAATGCTCAGCCAGAATTTTTGAGGGTGGGGGAAAGGAAGAGAAAGGGAAAGGAACTAAAAATGTAAAACCATACTCAAGAGGAAAAATGACATTCAGAACCAGCGTCACTGAATTTCTCTTGGTTTAACTGTGCCATCAGCATGCAGTTGTGTTAAAAGAGGCGACTTAAGTTGGCAGCACTAATCTTCTTTTAGTAGCTTGTACCACTTCTTGCATGTAAGTTGAATTTGGCTTAAGTAAAGAGAATTTCCTCAACATGAACTTCACTGGGATAATCAGCAGCATAACTGCCCTAAAAACACAGGCTCGCTAAAGAGGGAACCCTCTGCTTTTCTTACTGTGCCTATATTAAACTCGCACAAGTACGGGTGTGTCTCCCAACATTTATTAAAAGTGCCATATCTGTTACTTAGTGTATTGGAGTCACCGATGATGTACTGATATGTTTTTTCATTACTATAGTAGAATTTTTTTAAGTGGCAACTATTTGCAATCTCGATCTTTCCTATTAAAATAATGCCAAACACCAAATATGAATTTTATGATGTACACTTTGTGCTTGGCATTGAATGAGAAAAACACACATCCTGCAAGTCTGTAAGTTGTTTTTGTTGTTGTTGTTCTTGTAGTTCTTCAAAGTTTAAAATGTAAGTGAAAAATCTGGAGGAAAGGATAATTTCCACTGTGTGGAATGTGAATAGTTAAACAAAAAGTTATGGTTATTTAATGTAATTATTAATTCAAATCCTTTGGTCACTGTGATTTCAAGCATTTTTTTTCTCCTTTATTTGACTTCCTTTGAGTTGAGCGAAGAAGAGGCGGGCACATTGTATGCTGTCGGAGTCTTTTATCAGGTCAGCGGGAAATAAGATCTTGACACATCTGAACATGCATTACAGAGTCCAGACCTGAGCTTTTATTTTTTTTTAATTGAATGTTCCTTAAAGGTTAACATTTATGAGGCAATATTAAGAATCATTTTAAATGTTATTTTGGAAGACTTATGATGTGTGTGTACAAATAGTGGATAATAATGAATAGTTCGCAAGTCCTTTTAAGGAGAAAATCTAAAATGAAAAATGTGTGTGCAGAACATTTATAAGTGACAAGTTAATGCTTAAGAGTGAAAGTAGTTCTATTGACTTATCATTCTCAAGATATTTAATATCAAATGCATTGTGTATTATGTCTGCTTTAATCATTTAAAAACAACAGAGGGTTATATAGACTATGATTAAGGTACTTTGCTGTGTATGCAGAGGAGAGGGAATTTGATAGTATCATGAAAGTTAATTTGGTTTTAAGCAAAGTTTTATGAATCTGCAACTAGAATGTAATTTTACCCAAATTATGTTCTATATAACCTTTCCCAAAGAGCAATAAATAGAACCTCTTCTCTCTCTCTCTTGTGTGTCTGTGTAACTGGAAGTGTTCATAGCGTAGACGTGGTGCAAGGATTCACTTGTGGGAAGGGAGATAGGAAAACAATTAGATCTCTGTGACCTCAAAGGGAATTTATTTCTTCCACCTAGACCTTCCAGATTTTGCTTGATGTCAAATGGCTATGGCAGTTAGAAAGGGTTATGAGGAGCCTTCAAATAGTGGAAGAATGTCATAGAGATGATAATAGCTCTATTTTGAGGTGTTCAAGGGCAAAATGGGAGAAAGATTTTGGGCTCAGTACAAGGATGAGAGTGATTCAGCAAAGCAGTGAGTTGCCATGAGATGGTGGTGGTGAACTCCCTGCCCTGGGAAATACTAAACCATATTTATTCGCTTAGTGACTTTGTCCAGAAAAGTCACTAAGCAAAGAAACAAACAGCAGCAAGCAGCAGCAACAACAAATCCTGGGGAGGGGAAGAGAGACTGATTTCAAGAGTTACCACATTATATCTCTTAAAATACCCAGTTTTCAACAAAAAGTTGAGTCATGCAAAGAAACAAGAAAGCATGGCCCACATACAGGGAAAAAAAGAACAGCCCTTAGGAAGCCCAGACATTGGACTAATAGACAAAGACTAACTCAACTCTTTAGATACTCACGAACTAAAGAAAACCATTCTAAGGAAGTTAAGGAAAATAGGAGAATGAAATTTCATCAAATCCTGAATACAAATAAAGAAAAAAATTTTTTTTAAAAAGAAACGAATAGAAATTGTGAAGCTTAAAAGTATAACTGAAATGAAAATTTTACTAGAAGGGCTGAACAGCAGATTAGAGCAGGCCGAAGAAAAGAGACACACCTTTACCTAGACTAATGAGAGGGAGGGAGAAGAGAAAGAGGACTCTATTAAAATCAGAAGTGAAAAAGGGAACATTCCTATGAACCTTACAGAAATACCAAGGATTATAAGGGAATACAGAAGAACTGTATGCCAACAAATTAGATGAAATGGACATATTACTAATGTAACAAAAAGCCTAATTCCATTTTTTTCATGTTTGACTCCTAACATCTTTTATGCCTCACTCCTGTCTCATTCCCTTCTGCCCCACATCTGGGCAAGCTGATAAGAAAGCCCAGGCTCTCCCTTATTTGGCACTGATGGGACAATCAAACCATTCAAGGACCTGCATGTGAAAACCCTCCGCCTAGCCTCACTCTTTAACCACCATATAAACTCCAAGTCAGTCTTCTTCCCCTGTTCTTAGACCAGGTTGGGAGGCCTGCCCTGCTCTCCATAGAAAGCCTTGTGATGTGAGTCATAAAACTTTCATTTACTCTTGGTGTGTGTAGTGGTGTCATCAGTCTTGACGTCTGAGTCAAACCTTGAATAAGGTCCATTCTGTTTATGCTGGTGTCTATAACACCTAGAAACACACAAAGTATGGAAATGACTTGAGAAGAAATAAATATTTGAATAGAACTATCACAAAGAGGTTGAATTAGCAATAAAAAACTTGCCACAAGAAAAGTCCAAGACCAGATGGCTTCACTGGTGAATTTTACCAAATATTGAAAGGATTAATACCAAATGTTTACAACCTCTTCCAAACAACAGAAGAGAAGGGAACACTTTCTATCTCATCCTATGCGACCAATATTACTTTGCTACCAAAACCAGACTTTGTCAAAATAAAACTACATGATCCCACTTCTAGGAATATATCACAAGAAACTAGAAACACCAATCAGAAAGGATACATGCACCCCTATGTTCATAGCAGCACAATTTACAATAGCTAAGATTTGGAAACAGCCTAAGTGCCCATTAACAGATGAGTGGATTAAAAAACAGTGGTACATCTACACAATGGAATACTACGCTGCTGTAAAAAAGAAGGCACTCTTACCATTTGCAACAGCATGGATGGAGCTGGAGAGCATTATGTTAAGTGAAATAAGTCATAGAAAGATAAATATCGCATGATCTCACTCATTTGTGGATTATAATGAACAACATGAACTGATGAAAAAAAAAGAGAGACAGAGAAGCATCGATCAGAGCTCAAAACTCAGAGGGAAGATAGGGGAGGATGAAGGTAAGGGGGAGAGAACAACCAAAGGACTTGTATGCAGCATATAAGCCTAACCAATGGACACAGACACCAGGGGGGTGAGGGCATGAGTGGGGGGGGGGTAATGGGGGGGTAAGGACACATATGTAATACCTTAATCAATAATAAAAAAAATAATAAAATAAAAATAAAACTACAGACAAATATTCCTTAGGAATATAGATGCGAAAATTCTCAACAAAATACTAGGTAATTGAAATCAGCAGCACACAAAAAGGATTACACACCATGACTAAGTGGGATTTCCCCCTTGGAAAGTAAGGTTGGTTTAATCATCAATCAATGTAATACATCATATTAGTAGAATAAAGGACAAAAACCACACAATCATGCAGAAAAATCACTTGCCAATTTCTAATACCCTTTCATGATAAAAAATCACTTAAAACATTCGGAATATAAGGGAATTCTGATAAAAGACCTGATAAACGACATCTATGAAAAACCCACACAGCTAACATTACTTAAGGGTGCAAGATTGAAAGCTTTCCCCCTAAGTGTATCTGCTTTCACCACTTCTTTTCACCATTGCACTGGAGGCTCTAGCCAGGGCAACTGGCAAGAAAGGAAAATAGAAGTCATCTAGATCGGAAAGGAAGAAGTAAAACTATTTCTATTTTCAGAGGACATAATCTTGTATGTAGGAATACTAAGGAATCCACAAAAGAAGTATTAGAGCTGTCTTGGTCCATTCAGATTGCTCTAACAAAATACCACAGACTGGGTAGCTTATTAAAAACAAACATTTACTTCTCACAGGTTTAGAGGCTGGAAGTACCAGATCAGGGTGTCAGCATGGTCAGGTGACAGGTTGCTTCCAGGTCTGGAGCCTCTTTTACAAGGAACTAATCTCATTCATGAGGATTCCACCTTCTTCAGTTAAGCACCTCCCAAAGGCCCCGCATACTGATACCATTGCCAACGGGGATTAGGATTTCAACATATGAACTGGGGAAGGGAGAGGACACAAACAATTTGGACCAGAGGACGAGCTAATAAATGAGTTTATCAAGGTTGCAGCAAGATCAAGATACAAAAGTTAATTGTATTCTATATATTACCAAGGAAAAACCTAAAACTGAAAATAAGAAAATAATTCCATTTGCAACAGCCGCACAAAGAATAAAATGCACAGGAGTAAATTTAACAAGAGAAGTACTAGGCATGTACATTGAAAACTACAAAACATTCTTAAAAATATTAAACACCTAAAGAAATAGAAAGATATCCTGTGTTCATGGACTAGAAGACTTAATATTACTCAGATTCAACACATTCTCTATCAAAATCCTACCTGGTTTCTTTGAAGAAATAGACAAGCTAATCCTAAAATTTATATGAAAATGCAAGGGACCCAGAATAGCCAAAAAAATCTTGAAAAAAAAGTACAAAGTTGGAGGGCTCACCCTTCCTGATTTCAAAACTTACAGAAAACAATTGTTACAAGGCAAACACACTTTTAACAACCAGTAGGACTTTTTCCAGCCTCTCCAGCAGTTCTTCCTATGATCCGCTTCTGTTTTAACCATTTTCCACACTTTAGTAGTGACCACTCTCAACTTTTATAATAATTTGTTCTTTGCATATCTTTATCGTTTTATCACCAAAGTGTGCATCCCTAAACTCCACACTTTAGTCTGGGTATAAGCCAATTGAGAAAAGATGAAGGTCTAAATTAAGGCAGCCCTAAGCCCCTTCCTGTGATCTGGGTGGTGATTACCAAGCAATCAGGCCACTTCCTCTTCTTGCACCAAGTTTACTGGGAAGAAGGTTAAATTAATTGGAAATTTCAAAGTATTTTATTTTATTTATTTATTTTTTAAAATATATTTTATTGAGTTTTTTACAGAGAGGAAGGGAGAGGGATAGAGAGTTAGAAACATCAATGAGAGAGAAACATCGATCAGCTGCCGCCTGCACACCCCGCAACTGGGAATGTGCCCGCAACTAAGGTACATGCCCTTGACCAGAATCGAACCTGGGACCCTTCAGTCTGTAGGCCGATGCTCTATCCACTGAGCCAAACCAGTTAGGGCTCAAAGTATTTTAAATAATTATTTTGTTCCTTATCATAAAAAACAAAGCTTAGATTCCGATGCTCACAAAAGGATTCTACCGCCTTCTATGTTTACAATTGAAGCTACTTTTTCTCCTCTGTTCATTTATCTTTAGCACATGTAGCATTAGTCCATTGCAAGTGAACTTCACTGCCTTGCAGACATCCCACAAATGCCAATACTGACCCCTTGAATGTAGACATTTATTACTATGCACAGTGATAGCAGAAGTAAAATACGGGAAGTAGATACCTATTGTTTTTTACTTCTGCACCTCTTTTTCTTTAAAAAAATTTTTTCTTTAGAGAAACTCTTGCTGTGATGCCATCCAGACTTCTTATTACTGTGCCTTTCATCCTTGCTCCCCCTGTAGGCATAGGGCTGACATAAGACCACGTCGGAAAATCAGAAGGCCCATTCCACTTGGCCAGTATGATTGATTTTAGAAATGGGCTTGAAACAACCTGTATGCAAAAGAATCTTCCTTAAGATTTGAATATGGAGACTGGGAGAAACAAGATCTTTTTGCTTTTCTAGGATCACAAGTTATAATAATCCTGACCAAAATCTGATGACAGGGATTTTACCCAGGTATCTGGATGAAATTGTCTGAAGAATGAAGCCTCTATACACAAAAAAGCAGAGCCAAAATATGGAGTAAGTATCTCAGTGAAAGAATTTCTTCCCTGGAGCAACTTCAGGGGAATCAGGCCAACCTCTGGGTCATTCTATATTAGTTGTACATCACTTTATAACAAATTATGCCAAAACTTAGCAGCTTATAACAACAAACATTTCGTATTTCACACATTTTTTATAGGATCTG